TACAATTCTTTCGCGGATAAATTTTGTGCAGTTTGCAATTTCCTGGTCGGCAAAGTTTCCCTATTAAAGACAATTTTGAGTAGAAAATATAGCATGCGTGCAAAATGATATGGCTACGCAATCTCCGGATAAATATTTATTATGTGTAATTGTATAACAAATTTATAATTTATTTTTCTGTTTTAAATCTCAATTCATATCGTGTAATATTACACATGTATGCATATCTCATGGCCACTTATCCTAAACATCATTTTAAATCGCAAATTTTAATTTTAATTTTATTTCTCTGGAAAGAGCTATTAAAAATATTAAATATTAAATTAAAAATATTTACACCGAAATAATCTATTGTTATTATCTCAATACCCACAATACGCACTTCAAGATTATTAAATAACGTTACCTAATTTTTCCTAAGGCTCATTTTTTAGTATTCAAAGAAGGAAGATTGCTAATAATTTCATACAACGACGTTTCGTATTATATGGCCATCGATAATATTTCGTGCGTCATTTGAGACAAGCGAGAGATTTTTATTAGCCGGGGATCAAGCAAATCCACATATTTCCGTTGAAGAAAATACCTTTTAGAATGTATGAGTCCGCCAGATCCCTGATATTTCCCTGCGGAATTCATGCGGCGCGGTCACATCGAGAACTAAATTTTCTAAAAACGTTTACTTTGCCAATAAACTAACTTAAATGCAAAGACGTGGCACAGAAGGTGGAACAGAGGGAAAGGAGGAACGGGAGCATCTGTTCAGGAGACACCCGAACGGGAAGATGGGCGATTGAATACTTTTGCTAACCAAATTTATACAAGACAGCAAGAATTTACATTGCCACATTCCGTAAGGGGTCCTTGCAAGCTGCGAAAGTATTCGAATATTGTGCTCGATGATCTCATAGATGCCAGGAGAAAATTCTATCTCCCGAAGAGCTATAGAGAGTTTGCCGATAGCGTGGGTCTTGATGAAGGTACATCGGAAGGACAATTCAACAGAAATATCTGTATCACTAAATTGCTTCGCTCGAAAAGATCGGTAAATTGAGTTTCTCGTTATAACATGATAAAGTCGCTTTTAAAGATAAATCCGTACAATATCTGTACAATAATCTTTATTATCTTAATTATTTAATCGATTTTTTCGGTAAATTTTCAATTATTTTTAATCACGAATAACTCTCTTTCCAGTGAGAAATAAAATTAAAATACAAATTTGCGATTTAAAATGATGTTTCGCATAAGTGGCCGTGAGTTTTGCGTACATGTAATATCATATGAAACGAAATTGTCACGTATTCCGTCGACTGTGTATGATTTTTTGAGGATTTATGTCATATGTATTTGTACGCAAGTAAATAATAAGGTATACATTTCGCATGCAGTCATAAAAATTGCGCACCAACTTCCAATTCAGCTGCTAATTCGGATCCATGCTATTTCCTGTCACGCGTTTCGCAAGAGCGAGAGCAGAATTTTGTCTAGATTATCGAGGAAGTTAATACCTAGTATTCAGCATGATGTAATTGGCGGAACGTGGGTTTTCATTACGGGATAAGCCACGGTGTAGTTTCCCTAGGAATTCAATTTGGTCGCACTGGCCAAGGACTACACGATTTAACATGCATCAAAGAGGCGGAAGGGTTTAATGAAACACGGCCCGGCCGTGATCTGCCGTAACATTTTCCTGCGTACGAACGAAAATTATCCCATGACCTTTCGCGGAGCGGAACAACCCCCGGAAGTGAGCTAATAATTAAACAATTTACTTCATTAACCGCGCGAGGTAGAATTTTCGTGTTGCATGTTTATGCAAATTCATTCGTGAGTGTTTTGCAAATAATCTAGTATCAACTTCAATAGTAATAAATAAAGCTTATTTGATTAAATAGGCGTAAATTGTGGTATTTTTATGTATTTTATTATCGGAAATATAATTATAATAAAGGTCAATATTATTGAAGGAGATTTTGTTAAAGAGGAATGTAAATAACGGACGATAAACGAGATAAAAATTGCTGCAGCTGGACAGTGAAATTTCCACAAATGTACGTACGTTTCTGCTACGTAAATCCGTTTCTCATATGCAGAAGCAAAATTTTACGATATGAAACGCAGAACGCAGCAGGTGCCGTATGGGTGTTCCGTCCTACATAGAAAATATTGAATTATTATATCTTCTTAAAACTGAGCTGTGAAGAATGGATTTTTCTATATCATGTTTTTCTACAACAAACTTCATAGATCCTTTCTCGAGTATAAATTTTCTTTATCTCTGACAGGTTTATATGCGAACTTCTTTATAGCGGCGTACTAAACTATTGCCCGAAACTCAACTAAATTAAACATTTCAAACATTCTGACAAAGTTTATCTGACATTTACATCTAGTGTTGCGGAGAAGTTTCTTTTGAAATTTGTTTCGCCTGGTAATTCGATATTTTACGTTTCAAAAGTCTCGAATATACCACACGGCATGGAAAAACTATCTCAATTTCCGTGAATATCGAAGTTTGTTTAAAAATTTAGTATTCGCGCTGTAAAATGTACTACAGATGTCACATGGCCTTCTGGTCGCAGACGTGCGTTATAATTGTAGCGATCATATGCAAGGCTTGACGTCATGCGCATCACCGAAATTGGGCTTGAAGCGTCACCAATCTAGCGCCGTAATAATGTTAATTACGTTATATGGGCCGGTGACAGATATTTCAAAATTACATTGTACCAAAATAATTGTTTACCCTCGTATCTTATTTGTATATATATATATCAATCTCAATATCAATCAGCTTCAATTATCAACGATCTTCCTTGACTCGTGACAGTTTTACTGATTCTGTCGTATAAACTGTTTTCATTGAGAAATGTTTGATTTCTCTGATATTATTATTATTATTATTATTCTATTTCTATTTAATTAGGAGCGCGCTCTAAAATATGATAATTTCTTTATTACAGTGTCAAATATTTTGACGACAAATAGAATCATATATTCGATGTGCAACGCGTACGCATTCATGTTCAAAGGATATTATCAAACGCCCACAAAGGCAGTTAATGTCAACGACATCTGACCGAAATTTGCAAACCGTTTCAGAGTTTACGTGAAGCTATTGCGAGGGGTACTTTGAGTCAGTTCCATTGGAACTAACGTAATATTTGGAGGTGGTGTAAATTAAATCAGAATGTCATACAATACCTGTGACGTATAAATCTCAAATAAAATCACTATAATTAATGAGTAAAATAAATCATCGTTATTAAGCATATTAATTGTGCATTATAATTTTCTATATTTTTTTTGTCGTAGAATAATATAAAAGTTCGTTGAAATATTCAGTAAAATTTTAATTCTTCCATAAAAGACACAAGTATATATATCGTCACCTATACTGAAAGATACGGATTTTATAGAACGCAATAAAAAATTTATTACCATTGCAAAACCTATACAAAAATGCTGATAACGCACATCACGGTGTTCTAACGACAGACGTCAAACGCCACGCATTTCCAGCACTTCGCGATATTCCGTTCATTATCATTCTCGCTCCGCGTATTCCCCGTAAACTACAGTGTAATATATCCGCGATCATAAACGCGGCGTGTAGCGGCATTTAATTCATCCCTGACACCGGTACGATCGTATAATTATAACACAGCTGGCACGTATTTCGCATATTATGTACCAGATTAATACGATTCATATCTCGTCGAATTTTCATAAATCCACGCGGACGCAAATCATAGTCGCCGATATCGCGCCGCGCAGCGCCGGTGCCGTCACGTTCTCCCTGAAAAATTAATGTCAAAACGTGACGGCCGCCTTGCGCGAGCCACGTGCACGTGACTCGGATTCACGACGATCGATTAAAACAGGATTTAACAGGGATTGTATAAACGTCCTGGCTACCTTGAGCGTTGTGGAAATAATGGGGATTGAAATGAAGTGGAATGCCGGAAACATCGTGCGGATCGCGTGCCGGTATTTTATTTCTCATAATAAATTCTACGAGCTTTGTTATCGAGCTGCTTTCATAAGCTTTATCCATCATTTGCTCCACTAATTTGGCGATTAACTTTTCCGTAGTACAAATATGTTTTTTTACGATTTTTAACATTAAATGCTGATGAGTGTTGTACGCAATTGAAATTCACGTCAAATTAAATTCAGCATGAAATTTATAACACACAAATATAATGTTAGTACTTCAAGATTTTTATATTTATTTTAATCAAGGAAGGCGGAGATAAAATGATTTTTAAGCTATTGATTTTAATAAAGTCGCAAACTGTCAATTTATTGTCAGTTTGTGAAAATGCGCGGCAGTTGAAGAATAATGCGAAAACGATATCGTGCTGTCAGCGAGAGAGCAAATCACCCGGAAATCTACCGCTTTCGAGATGTCCAATAAAATACAAAAAGGCATCGATCCTTCCTGCATTTTATTGTGCGCATTTTTTGGGCGCTCCAGTTCGTGAGCTCCAACTGGAGTGTAACGTGTATTTACGCGATATTCTCTAGGGCATACTCATGCGTGATATTAGGCTTCGTCGTTCTTTAGAAACGTATCTGTATTATAGAAAATCTAATGAAATTGTGTAACGGGAATCGACAAATTCGACGATGCCGCAGACAAATGTCCTGATTTATCAGATATTTCTATTTCCGTACTTTTCTTACGTTATTTCTATTATCGGAATTTATTGCGACGTGATTAACAGTTATGTAAGCGCCGATAATATTTTATATCATGCATATAATATAATATATCATTATCACGTACGTTAATATCATCACATATAACGAAATATCGACGATGTAATTATATATATCGATGTGTATACCAGGTAAAAAAGAAAAGATAGGAAAGAACATTAAGGATATGAATGAAAAAAAAAAAAAAAAAATTTTTCTGGGTTCTTTTTACCTCAAAAAGTAACACGCAAAGAAAACTCATTGATCCGTGAACGATCCATAACTCGCTCCAGGTGACGTGCGAGGACGAGGAAGGCAGCCAATGCATACCAAAGAAGATCTTCCTAGCGTTGATGCGTTTGCCGGAAGTCAACTCGAATCTGGCGGCGTACTCGAGGACGGCGAGGATTATTCAGGAGGCGAAGAACCATGACGACATGGCTCATCTGAAGGCTCTCAGTTCCGAGGAGAACGACGACGAGATCTGTATACCCGGCGGCGTTTACCTGGAGCTCTTCAGGGATCCGGCGTTACGCGGACATCTCAGCGTCATGGCGCGTACTCATAAGCCGCCCGCATTTCCCGGACGTTTTCTCGACGACAGCGAGGAGGTCGATTCGCGGGACCTGATACCCGAATCGGAAAAACGCGGTCTCGCTATCCTGGCGAAGAACGGCGATCTGCCGGCCACCACAAACGAGCGCGAGGACGACAGCGATGACGAGGAGAAGAGAAGCGTCTCTTCAAGGTATACAATATTTTCTGACTTTTCCGACTTTTGAACGCCTAACTTAACAATTCTGAACAGGAAATAATTGATCTCCGCACGAAGGGATGCCGCGATTTCTAAATGAGAAAGTTAGAAATCATTATATTTTAATAATTTGTTGACCATTGTTATAAATAAATAATTATTTTGTAATAATTTCACGTTAATTTTATATTAAAAATTTCATTAGCAGAGGAGATAAAAGGAGCTAACGAACCAAGCAAGGTGTACGTGCTAGTAATGTATTTACAAATTTAAATAATAATTTGACAAATGGATTTCGACTTGTAATAAGGTCTTTAATGCGTTATAACAAAATCCATCACTTACAAACTAATCTGATTTCGTGTAATTTCTTATAGGCGTCGCTTAATTCAAGTCTTAGAATATTATTTGCGCATTTAAAATTAATATTATTCAATTTAACGTTAGATGAACGATAAAACAGATTGTGATTTAAACATGCTTGAAAATTTTATTACTATAAGAAAATTACGTGTCCATGCCATTCAGTCACCCGAATTAATCGATTTGTCGAATTAAGCGGCAATGTGGACGAGCTGGTGCGCGAGTTGCTGGACGACGAGTACCGTCGACGAGCGCCCAGGATTTACGACTACCTGGCCGAGCTGGACCCGGAAGTGGCCGAGTATCCGTTAGACAAACGTAACGTCGGCTCCCTGGCGCGGGACTTCGCATTACCTACGGGCAGACGTCACATCGCCTCGGTGGCCCGCGAATACGGTTTACCGAGCGGCAAGAGGAACATCGGCTCCCTGGCTAGGCAGAGCATTCTGCCTCAGGGCGGCAAGAGGAACGTCGCTTCTCTGGCGAGAGACTCCATGCTGCCGCAGACCGGTAAGAGGAACCTTGCCGCGCTGGCCAGGGACTCCGCTCTGCCCTACGGCAAACGATATCTCGGCTCGCTGGCGCGAAACGGTGGCTATCCGGTCCGCGGATACGACGAGGGTAAGCGCAGCATCGCTTCGTTGGCCAGAAACGCCGACTGGCCCGGTTACGCGAAGCGGGGCGGCAGCGCGGCAGGCAGATTGATCGTCCGGGTGCTCAACCGTCACGGGAGATCCCTGAGCGACGACCGCGAGACGCACAACGAGCCCTTGGACCTCCAGCAGCTCATCAGGCAAGGCAACGGGAACGACGCCAAGGCGAATGTTGCCGGCAACTGGCTCACCCCCTTCAGCGTCTCGGAGGATCTCGACGAGAGCAGGGCGAAGAACAGATCGAACAGGAGGATCGACGCCGCCGCGACCTCGCAAACGAGGCACAAACGACAGATCGACTTTTCCGACGAGTACCCGCTGCCCGTCGTGCAGAACACCAACATGTTCGATTACGAGGACATGCTCGAGGAATTAGCCGATCGTTATCCGAACGCGGAGAAAAGGTTCATGGGTGAGTAAATTCGCGACGTTACGGTTCATATTTATCCACGGGAGAGATCCCGCGGGAATTTATTTTACATCTCTGATACGTGTGAAACGTGACATTTTGGTCGGTATTAATTTATGGAAATCTCGTAAATCTTATTTTAACATTTGTAACGCAAGAGAAAGGCTATCGATTTCAAATGTCATAGCGTCACCGCGGATGATTTATTGCGCAAGGATGCTTTACGTGGGTAAAATTCAATTTTGGTATTTTCCTTCCTTTTGCCGATCAATATTTAAATTGGCTGATCGATTCGCCAGCCAGGATTCGCGTTAATCACAATTTTTTCCCTTCGCACCCGCGACGCATCCATGACGCGCCGTCGCGCGTTTAGCAAAACTCCACATGATGAGCGTAGGGATGAAGTAAGCTTTGCGCTGCGACGAGTCGACACCGTCTGTTGTCAACCATAACTCTGTCGAGAACAGGTTCCGCGCCGGAGGTGCCGGCCGATTCGAGCTACCCTGAAGTATTGCAACCGAGTAAGAGACATATCGGGGCCCTCGCACGCCTCGGCTGGCTCCCGTCGTTCCGTGCGCCACGATTCTCTCGGTCGCCGCGATATCTGGTCGAAAGGTCAGGCCGTTAAGGCAGCCGCTCTCTCTCTCTCTGTCTCACACTCTTTCTCCGTTGTCCCTCTCGCCGTTGTTCCTCTTCTCCTATACCTCGGTGTGATGTCAACCACGTTTTCGCCAGTACCTGTGTAAACTCAAGTAGAGCTCTACCTGCAGACTGAGAAAATATGTCATATCTATGTGTGTGTTGTGCCAGTAACGACAGATCTATCAGCCACGTCACGTCACGTCAATGATAACCCACCAAATACCAACAACCACCTATCACCATCTACAAAATCACCACGTACAAAACAAAAATGTTCTCCAATTGTGTCTTCTTCTTCTACTACTACTACCACCACCACGATACAACCCCGGGACTCATCACGGTAGTTGGGTGTAACAATGTCTCGATGTATAGTGTCTCGCTGTTAGAGACTAGCGGCTATATATATTAGATCGTTAGAGCGTTGACAGTAGATCGATGTTAGACGATTAGACGGCGTAGAATCGGTGTATATTAGTTTGCCACGTTGATTCGGTGTTTTAATTAGTAATTCTCAATGTCTTATCGAATGGTTCTCAACGTTAATTAATTTTTACCCTTCCAAAAATACTAATTTAATCGTTGAAAAATCACGAACGAAGGGTGTGATTTATATTCGGAGAATTTTTACCTCTCCCTATATATTTTTACAGCTTTCGAACTATCACTTGACTCAACTGTTGGGAACCATGAGTGCCGCGTGATGCGGCATTTTTCTAGATACATTCAAAAGTGCAGTGTTACATCGGAATGGTTTTTATGTCGTTTCATTTTTATTTTAGTGATCCGCGCGACGTGATTTTTCAGCGAAGAGGTAACTCGTGTAATCGACAGACGGGATTAAAAACCATTGCTGAAGGACACTGTGTAATGCATTGGTATTAGCTGTTCAATACGTTGAAAGTTCCTGCGCTATCGGAATCTTTCTGGAATAATCAAATATTAGACTTATCTTAAAAAAAAGGGAAAAATGTCGGATAATCGTATTAATTAATGCAAATTATGTTGTTTTATACAAGGTTCTTCAAAAAAGTGTTAACACTGACTTGTGTTATCGATAACAGAATCGATAACACAAGATCTCTTCATTGTTCACCGTCATTAAAATGTGTAAGATCTTTGACAGAAAATTACAAATGTGATCATCTAGAGAAGATTTCAAGAGTATATTAACAATAATGGTGAACAAGTGGAGACTCTTTAAAGACAAAATATATTTGTTACTTGTGTTATCAGTTCTATATATATTTTTTTAAATTACATCCATACAAGTTAACATTTCTTTGAAGCACCCTGGATATTTATCTTCTTCGTAATTTTTTTCTACAAAGAAAAGCATCTTTATAGAAAAAAAATTGAAATCTTATATAAACAATTAACAGCTGGTGTGCATGAATGAACATTTGTTTTTATCAACTTTTCTCTGTCATTGTTATCCGTAAGATAAGTGCCCGTGCTGACGCTATATCAGCACCGCGCGCTATCGATTAGTTGCGTGTTGTTTAGAATTGATCCTATTGTGTGTGTGGCTGTCGTACGCGCGGCATTCTGCGAGACGTAACGAGGGCGCAAATGAATTTCAGGGAGGATTCCGCAGATGGGTCCTCGTCCAACTACACCCCCAACGCGTCGGCTCGGTCGCTAAGACCGATCATCACCCCGAAAGCCCGCTACCTGCAGTCCCTCCACGGAGATTGTCGACATGGCTTCCAGAGGTACCTGTTACCGGACATCGATAACTTCCTGCGGACGTCGAACTCCCGCGTCGCGTCCCACTCCATGTAAAAACCCTCGCTTCGCTGCTCGTCCCGGGGCGACGACGCGACGCCGTACAAATTCCATTACATCGGACTCACGCGTTTTTACTCACCTTAACCGTAAGGGGATTGAGGGGGAAAAACGGATGTAAATATTTGGATCTTGAGTCTGACGTCCTTCCTTACTGGCCACTGATCATCCCTTGTCAACGGTAGATATCTACGAATATATATATAATATATTATATATCTCAATCATCAATGATTAAATAATGATTTGTCAGGTAATAATCTATCAGCTAATAATACTCAATCATCAATGATTAAATAATGATCTCTCAATTAATAATCTATTCAGCGAATAATAATAATATGAAAAAAAATTGTTGAAAAAAGAAATTGAGATCAGAAAATCGAAATTAGGAACGATGGAACGGAAGTGAGGAAGTCCGTCACGCAATGTAATCAGTCTACAGACTTATTGAGAAGAATTGATCTTGGTCGCAAACAGGGCCGTGCGAAGGGGAAGGAGGGAGCGAAAGAGGCCCAGACCCCTGACAATTTGGCGCCAAAAACTATTCTAACAATTAAACTTTTGTTTGACCGCAAAAGGAGGACCGCCAAGTTTATCCTACGCCCCGAGCGCAGTTTTCTCTTCGCACGATCCCTGATCGAAAGATCCGTCGATGGACAATAAGCTTACTGCTCGCCGACAATAATTCACGTAATCCTAATGTGACGCCTTAAATGTGCCGTCTGTGTCGAACAGATATTTTAAACCCATTATACAAAAAAAGTAAAAAAAAAATTGTACGTCTAAAAAGGTGATAACTGCAATTCGCAGAAACAGATTTCTCTCTTAAAAATAATCCTAATGTGACGCCTTAAATGTGCCGTCTCTACTGAATATATTTTAAACCGTTATATGGAAAGCGTGCGTCTAATAAAAAGAGATATCAATTCGCAGACAGATTTCTCTTGCTTAAAACAAATAAGAAATAAAAAAAATCTTTCCTCCGCAGTTATACAAGTTTTTGGATGTTCTGGATGTTATGTAAAAGGGCTTTTGTCAACGATAGTCTCTAAATTTACAAATTTCTGTGAGCATTCACGTTTCTCTTGATATTTGTACATCTCGATATTCCTCCTAATGTCGATGTATAGCAAACGTATCTGCCGTGACTTTTGTAATTCGTATCTTCCGCAGCAAGGCGAGAAATATCCTTGATCTCGACGGAATAACAATAATATGTAACAACGATCGGTCGGCTCACGGTTCGGGATTTGGCATTGGTCTGCGCGATCATTAGCGATCGCTTAATATCGATATCATTGATAAATTACTTTCGGGCGGTTCATCGAGCAATATACCTCGTGATCCTTTCGTTTCTCGTCGTTCGCGACGATATGAACAAACGAGGAGGGAACGAGAGAACCAACTTGACCGTTAATTTAACGATAAATCATCGGGAGATCGAAATATTTTATTCCGCCGACGCTTTCCATTTAAACGAGCGCAGTTGCGGCTGTACGTTGCTTTGATGATTGTTATTTAGCTCGGGCTTCACCGATAAATCATTGCGAGATCGAAATATTTTGCACGCCGACGCTCTCGGCGAACCGTAAGATCGTAAAAAAAAAGAGGATAAAAATTCGCGTGAGTTAATTCGGCGACTGTTACTTAGCGAAAGCGTAAATCGCCGTCGAAGTGTTCAAAAAGTGGTGCGTTGCTCGCAAATAGAGTAGCTCGTAGTTGCGAAACACGATACGACGTCGATCACATTAGATAATCGAGAAGACTTGTCGTTATTCTCCAGATATTTCTCACCATGTTACGATCAATACTTTCCTTGTCGTGTGATTTTTAGGTACTTGTGATGTTAAAAGCCATATGCAACGAATATATATTCATAACATTTGTTTGTTGCTTAAAAAACCATATTTGCTTGAAGCTAAGTATGACTATTATTACGTTGGAAGAATAACTTGTAATTTTTTTTACAATTTTTGAATTTACGTGAAAAAGGATTTATTAAAGGAAAGGGAAATATCAAATGTATCTATTAATTTACATACTTCTCTCTTTTATCTCTTGTCTCTTTTAGAACCGGATCATAAAACTTAAAATATATACTTAACTTGACGATTTCCATTTTTACAAATAGCATTATTACACGAATGTCCTTTTTATGATGAATCCGATTAAAAACGTTGCAAAACAAGAAACAAAGAAGGTGACAGACATTTGTCATGTAACTTAAATGTAGAGCACCATTTCGCGGTGCCATCCTTGTTCCTCGTCTACGAATGTTGTCTCATTGTCATTTTCGCTATTTTCTTTTCAAAATCCTATAACCACGGCCGTGAGAATCACGATCGTTCGTACACACGCGTGCTAAATCGACGAAGCCAAGGAAATAATCTCCGTGAGCGTAGTAACATATGTACGGTGTAAATGCCAGATTAGTGCTCAGAGCTTTTGCGAGCTCGATGGCGATAACGCGAATTCAGTTTCATCCTAGTCTCCATTGTATCTCATTTAAATATTGTTAGAAACGTCGTTGTGTAACATGTATGGTATTGCACGTATACAATCGAAATACGCTCGATGTCATGGCATCTCATCGGTCTATCATTACTGTGGATGACATATAAGTCTTTGTCGACTTCTCTTTAACTTTACGACTTAAAGTACTATGTGTTTGTCTAGACAATAATGGTGGATAACCGAAGTGACAATAAAACGATAATAATATTGAAATAATAAACTTGATTTTTATTCCGCAAGCGAAAATACTTTTGCCCTGTTTTCAATCTTTGTTAAACAATATCGTTAAATATCACCTGATGTTTACTGACAAAATAAAACATATGATTTGTAACGTTGCTAAGCAAGGAGGAAGAAAGGAAATATCAATACGGATATACATAACAGATAAACATTTTATTACGTATTTTTATGATTTGTTGAATTATAAGTATCCTATTTTGTTTTAATGTTATATGTCAAGTATTTATAATAAAATAAAGAAATGCAACTATTTAAGTATTTATACAATTATGTTAACATTTCAGGGAAGGGAATAAAAAATACTATATTAATATAAATTCTTTATCAATTTACAATCTTATATATACAGAATATAATAATTATATACAATAATATAATACAATAATAATTGTATACAATAAAAGTATGCACAACCTTCGGCGCATCATTTGTAATTAATCTCTGTACAACAGCCGATCGGCTAAAATATTCCACCCACGCTACGGTGATAATTAAGCTGAGCGTGCTGAGCGTAATCGTAACCTTGGTCGTACCAGTCCGGCGTTGTACCCGCATTTGGAGTACTCGGCTGAGTACTCTGAGAGCTCGCGTGCTGATGACTGCCGGTGTGTCCCGGGCCATACTCGCCGCTCTGGAAATGATTGAACTGTCCCCAACCGAGCTGCGCCCTGGACCAATCGGCATTACCTGGAAGATCAATGACGAAATATAGATCATATGCTTTCTCTGATGTATCTTCGAGCTTGGTGGAATGTCGGACACGTAAGATTTTGAGTCAAGCATTCGTTATGTATTGGCATTTCAAATTCAAAATTCGCAACTCTACACTTTTATTTGTTATTAGAGATCCATGGTAATAAAAGGGTCTCAAAAAAATATTGAAAACATGAAGGCATCTTCAGCTACACTATATGGTCTTTCGATTTCTTCCAAGAACCCGGAAACTCGCAGATGTCACGAGGTAGGTACTCACCGGCGTTGTGCGAGAGCGACGTCGGCGCGCCGTGCGCGGCGGGTGGCTGCATCGTCGATACCTGTGCGAGTTGCACGGAGGCCGCGTGCGCCGGAAGCGAGCCGATATGACCGGAAATGGTGACGGCGTGCCCCTGAAGGGCGCCGCTCATCGTGGTGGGCACCTGGGCCATCGTGCTCGCCATTTGGGCGACCGTGGTGCCGCCGGGGATCTGGTGGACGCCGCTAGGCGCCTGGTGCAGCGTCGTCGGGCTGTGATGCAACGTCGTGGGTACCTGCGGTATTCCGCCCGGCATCTGCGGCACCTGCGGTATCTGAACGAGCTCGTGGCCAGCCGCGGCGTATTGGCAGGGTGTCAACGGCAGATTCGCCACCGAGTGCGTTATGCTACTGGTGTGTTTGCGGAGTCGCGCCCTGCGATTGCTGAACCACACCTGAAACGGTGCGCATGACACTTGGCGGTTGCACCCTCGCGATGGGATCGATTTGATGGGAAATCGCGTTTTTTACTCCGATATTCGCGCTGTATGTAATGTATGTACAGCGCGTGCAAAATATCCCGGCTTTTATTGCTTCCTCGAATCTCTTATACGGCCGTTCTTTGCTCTTTCTTGGGTTCACACTTGAATTATAATCAACGTTACTCAAATAACTTATAGAATATTGGTCAGCAAAATAATTTTTATCTACAAGACATCCTTTATAGAAATTTAATACTGTAAGTGATTATATTTGGTTAGTAATTAATTACTTATTTTGAGTATTAAAATCATTAAAAACAGTACTTTTAATACTCGAAATAAGTAATTAATCACTAGTCAAATAATCACTTACAGTATTAAATTTCTGTAAGGGATAGATATTTTTTAAAATTGCTTTTAACAAGGATTGGTAAAAGAATACCGGAAATTCTCTATTTGAATTGTCATATTCAATGTGATGTACTTTACGTTAATGTCGACTACTAATGTTATGCTAACCGATGCTCACCTGAATCCTCGCCTCCGTCAGTCCGGTTCTCTGAGCTAATTCCTCTCTGGCGTAAACGTCTGGATATTGAGCTCGGTGGAACGCAGCTTCCAGCTGTTCGAGCTGTTCGCCGGTAAACGTCGTTCTGCTTCTGCGTTGCTTTCGCTTCAGTGGAATGCCCGGCTCGCTTTCCGTGTCAGAGTCGTCACCGCAGCGACCTAAAGACCATAAAAGTGACGATCATTGTCTCACATTCAAGAAATTCAGAGAAAAGTATTCGAGAAATTTAGAATGACGTCTGAATATCCACGAACGACTTGTCGGAAAGTCTTTTATAGTTAAATCTAATTAATGGAGTTCAGAAATCGCGGTACGAGTATATCTCTTAAACGTAATTAACGTTGTCTTAATTCTGCAGTTATTAATAAACAAGGACATTTAAGAAATTAAATCCAAAATATGTATAATATAATACATATGTTCTCAACACGTCGGTATTACTACGTATTCCACGAACGCTTCTATTTTAGATGCAAATTATTAAAGTTCGTAGAATCGTATACCGCTTCGGTATTTTATCGTTAAAATGAGAAACTTCCTAGTTTTCTCATATCGCGAATTTTCCAATCTTTTCCTGCTCTACGGAAACTATTAATTGATGAAAAATAAAAATCTGCGACAAAGTCAAATATAGAAATACCATTTACGAATCGATTCGCAAATTATGAGCGTATTTGCAACCGGGAAGATTTTCGCGATGTCGAAAACGATGGCGATCCTTTAAATTCCGCGGCGATTATTAATTGGTGTTAAAACGGCCGTCACTGCTAATCGATAAATCGTCGAAAAAGCCGCTCTGTCACTGAGCCCGCCGTTGCATCGCCGATGAACTCGCCTCTTTCTCTGAATGGTATATTGATGAGACGAGATGATCATCATTTGTATAATACGCGTATCCGACGACGGCCATTCCGCACAGTCATCGTATTTCCTACGGCTTAATTGTTTCCTACGATTGAATTCAACAGGTTTCACCTAATATTTCAGAAAGAGTCCCAGCGTATCGTCACAGGTTTATTCTCATAATTCGTCGTGCAGCGAATAATGATTTATAAAAATATTTTATTTCGTACATATCTTACGTGCCAATTGAGTCGTTTATCAAAATGAATTGAAAAATCTGTATTCATCTTTTTATGTAAATATAACAAGAATTCTGACATATTCTAATTTAAAGTCTTTCCAATCTATCTCTGCTTGCACGAAACAACTTTATGCGTTCTGCATACGTTCGCATGTATACTACATATATACCGCAGTCATTAAAGCATCCATAAAGTGCTCGTAAAAGGCGAGCAATGGTTACCACCGTGTTCACCGCCATCTTGCCTCGTTTTCATAGTTTTGATATGTTTTATGATCGACCACTTTTTTCAGTGGAGGCCGGTTGTTTCTTGAAGAGTTTATCGTCGATGATATAATGATAGTCTCTTCGTCTCTTTCTGTCTATAAAAATTTTTCCGCTTATTATTACGGAAATTATACAATTTATATGAGACAGCGTCTAGAATAACTAACAACTTAACAAAGACGCACTCCGCTAATGTATATATCTTATGAATCAATTTTTTATTTCAAGAGATTTTTTTCTACTATTATAATATATATGTTGTCTAAAGATATTGAGAATCTCTTCTTGAAAATTCCTTTATTCTTCTCAGAATTTGAGCACACATTTTCCGCCGTGTACGGCCACTTATCTTAAATTGAAGTTAATCTTCGCGTCTCGAAACTTATTTCCCATAGAAAGCCCAGTCTTTCTACCCGAGAACGTACAATAACGTCATGCCTCAATTTGCTCAATCATTCGATAGTTAGAATTAAATCCTCCTCGAAGAATCCTGCGAACCTCGTAATATCCTCGCATTCAGCACTTCGTTCCGTAAACATTTTCTATGCGATACGCTTCTACCTCCGTGTCATTGATAACTATTTGGCTGAAAGAACCGGCAGCTCGTGCGTCCGTTTTTCTAGCAAACGAGAGAAAAAGAACATGTACACACAAACACGTATATGCAAAGAGGGACCATCGGTAGAAACTGACCGGGCTCTACCTTCGCCAAAATATTTACTCCTAAGTCGACTCCCTCCCTTTATTGTCCCACAATCGTCCCATTGTCGCTCAATCGAGCGTTCCCGTGAAAGCATTGTCCCGATCGAAGCCGGACAACGTCGTGCTTTCCTTGCCATTCTCGTCTCCGTTTCATCTGTTACGAAATAACATTTAATCTCGATGCGCACGATTTTATTCGCTCGGTCGAACGCACGCGGGAGCGCAACGGTGAGCAACGAGTGGCTTGTTGTGACGTCCGACAATCCACCCCGGCACAACGAACGGGGATTAGCTCGCTCTTTTATTTGCCCACTTACGCCAGCGCGCTATCGTCGATTCCGCGATGCGGAATTAAACGGCGACGACAGTAATTCTATTTCTTACGCCGTCCGGCCGGCCGTTCAGCCGATTTTTCGTTCGCGATCCGCGTTTTACGAGCTAACGTTCAATTGAGATCGCCTGAGGTCTCTTCCTCGAACTATTCGGGGATCCCAACAAGAAAGAGGAGATTGGAGGAGATTCGTATAGGTCCGTAGATTATTACATGTACGATCTCGACGTAAAGCTCAAGATTTATACAATAGCTCGGATTTAAAAAGAAAATTTGAGACAATTATTTTCCCTAAAGGAATTATTAAATCGCCTAATTAGAGAGGGTACATCAATTTAATAAATATGGCGTTGATCCGTGCACGATCAGGTCCCTGTTTCTATTAATTAAGAAGCTAAAGATGAGCGCGAAAAGTGGAATCGAGCTTTTAACCGAGCTACGTCGTCGCCAGGTCGAGAGACGCCTCTGTCTCATATGGCGTTTGTGGAAATGTGATTCGCGCAAAGGAAGATCGACAGATATCTTCCCGAGGAACCTGCCATTTCTCTCGCGTACAGTAGAACCTGCCCCGAATCTTGCCGGCGCACAATGGAGGGATGCTCTTTCCTTGCGGTTTTCACCTCGCCAGGCGGGGAAATGAAAACTAGCGGCGGCGGGTTTCAAGTGTACAAGAAAACCCAGCGGCCGTCCTTTGAGCCTGACTCCATTCTACTTATTGTGCGGCGTTACATTTGTCAAAACGCAATGTGGCCTCTGTGTGCATGGAGGCGGATGCGCCGGCATCTAGTCGAACTTAAATAACGCCCGGAGGCTTTCAGCGGAGGTAGACAAAAGCGGATGCTTTTCGGCGTCCGCAGAGATTTCGCACAACGATAGTGATTAAGGATAGTGTTCTCGTCTAATGACGTTCGATATAAATAAAACGAATTTTCCGATTTCAGGAGATTCCCGTTCCAAGTACAAATCTCAAAACGCTGATCGATTACGGGGTAATTTTCACTTTGCAAGAGCACGCTCGCTTTCTAGAACGGCATCGTCGAGCGGAAATGTAATTTTCGAATAGAAGCGAGTTCGACTTTCGGTGTCGATGCGACAAATGTTACTGGAGAGGAGTCATCGAGCTGACTGCCGCGCACTTGCAGTCATCGCGCGTCTTCAGGTGCGTTATGGAAAAAAGAAAAAGAAAAAACGATGGACATCTTTCGACGTTGACTATCGTCTCCCTCTTCTCGCCACCTGTGCGGTGACGACGAGGCCGGTGACAGGAATTTAAACCTGGGTTCCGTCACCTTTACTGTCTGTAGATGCAACTTGTCTCCGGGCTATTCTCCCATTCTTCCGTTTGTCATACCGAGGAACGTGAACGAGCCGCCAAAGATGCCGCCAAAGGGAGATCCTCCGCCGTTTGACGGTCGCCGGAAAAAGGTCACTTCATCACGTAACCACCTTTATCTTTCCAGAAGATGCGCGCCGCGCGATTAAAATGCACCGAGGACCACGGCCTCGTACTCCTTTCAAGAAACGAAGGTGAGACAGTGTGAATCGCGCGAGTGTATATCGCAAAAGATGCTGGGGACAGAGGAAATCGAAGCACGAACAAATTACTTTACAGTCGTTTACACATGCAGGCATCTAAGAAGTTTTGAGATTTTTCGTAAAATTCTCTGCGTAAATTCTTGACATGCAAAATGGCCTTATCAAAATTATACCTTTGCATTATATAATCAAAATTGTAATGCCTGTTTCCTGTGAAAAGAGTCAACATTACGAAATTAGGTAGCTTTCTGAGAATCTTAAAATGTTTTTAGGTTCCACGTATTTTTATCAAATTAACTTTTCAATTAATGATAATGAGCTTCTTATCTTGGCATGGTAAATTACTAATATGCAATATTCACATTCCTGTGAATCATTCCTGTGGTCGTCGTTTAGGATTACAGACTAAAATCTAAGAAGAAGGAGATATATCAGAGTCTAACACTCCTATATTTATAAACATTAATATTATTTTGCAATCAAAATTGCAATGTCTGTTTCCCGTGAAAGGAGTCAACGTTATGAAATTAGAAAACTTTCTGAGAATCTTAAAATTTCTTTAGGTGCCACGTATTCTTTCAAATTAACTTTTCAATTAATGATAATGAGCTTCTTGTCTCGGCATGTTAAATCACGAATATGCAATAGTCACATTCCTGTGGCCAAGCGTAAGGATTACAGACCAAAATCTAGGAAGAAGGAGATACATCACAGGGTCCTAACACTCCTATATATTTAAGCGCTTCGGCACACCTTCCGCTCTTCTCGCTCAAGCGTCAGTCCCTCGTTGTCGGGACGTCTACCCGGCGCAGATATCAGTGCGACTAATTATCAATTATCATTATTGGCTCGTTCGGTCGGCTTCTTTTCCCGCGGCACCGCGCACCGGCGAGACGGGGGTGGCACGGAGCGCGGACCAGGTGTGCTCCTCGGCCTCCTCGCGCGCCGCGGGGACGTTCGAGAGAGGCAGGGCGGCGGTGTTCGGCGAGTCAGCATTCCTTTGCGCGGCCTCTGACATCGGCGGTCCTCTCAGAGGGCTCTACCCGTCTCCCTTCGATCCACGGGATCCCCGTCCGGTTCTCCTCGTCCCGCTCCTACCGGCGCGGCCGGAAGAAAGAAGAAAAAAAGGTGGCTCTCTCTGCCCGTGAGCGCGAGCAGGAGGCAGGAAAGATCGAGTATTATGCGCGCGTGTGTGTATATGCGTGCGATCGTTTAGGTGCCCATATGTCGGACTTGTA